CGCCTTCGCCATGAGTGACGCAGGTTGGCAAAAGCCAATCGAGCCTTCTGTATCCGAGCTGAGATTTCGTCAGTCACCAGGCCATCAGCACTGATGAGACTCCCCAGATAAGTGAAGCGGTCTACACGTTCGACTACTTCACTCCCTATCACTAGTTCAGGTGCCGATGCAACCCAATCTTGAAGCAACATTTTGCATTTCGAGGGTGAGAACCGCATCCCGAACATGCTCGCATTGTTGTTTACGGTAGTCAGAAGACTCTGCATTTTGTCAGCGTCTTCACTAAGTAGGACAATGTCATCGGCATATTCTAAGTCAATAAGCGAGCCACCTGGTAAAAGGTCTACTCCTGAAAATTCAGACGAGGATAATGTTATTTCTAGGAGCATGTCTATGATAAAATTAAACAAGAATGGAGAAAGTGGACATCCCTGACGGACACCACTTGAAGTAAAGAATTCCGTTTGCAGTTACCGTTTAACCAAAACAAATGTGGCATATTGTATGCTACTATCCCCGACATTATGAGTGTCTTTATTATTCAAGGCTGAATCATTTTCTTCCATAAACTTTTACATCACTTTTAGCTTTTATTCCTAGAAGACAGATAAACTAAAAAAAATCCCGCAGATACTGCTCAACTATCGTTGATCACAAGAAACCCGAACTATCTTGAGTTAGTGTGAGTTCCTTTTAGTTCATCTATTATTAGTTTAATACATTTTTATATCCCCGATTTATTACCATTAAAATACCTTGCTTTTTTATCTACCTATCACTCTACTCATGAATTTCCACATTCTTTGTTCAGTTATCCATCTTTCCGATCTACAAATTACCTATTAACTAACGTATATCTTAATATTTATACCATTAGTTAGCTTAATTTCAGCGTGATATGCCTAAAGGATATATAATCGAGCATGCAGAAGCTTAAGCAGTCTGTTTCCTTTGAACACGGGACTAGTAGAGACAGCGTATTCCGAGATGGGCAAAATACAGTCAAACATCACAAAAGCAGAAAGCATGATGCATATGACCGGCAAATATGATGGCGGGGTGATAACCTCAATCCGCACATAATTGTGTAGAAGGACATTTTATTTGCTTAAGGCTCCTTACAATCTGGAAGGACGTAACTAATAAATGATATTGATATTACTTCTCAACGTCACCATTATATAACAAATATATTATCAATAAGGTGCAAATATGGATGACAATAATTTCTCCACCAATGTGAAACATACAATATTTAAATATAAGGAACTTGTGGTGAGAGAAAGCTGTGATCGCATAAGTTAAAATCATTACATACGTTTGAACGGGACGCATTGTAGACTTTCTCCATGTCAAGCAGTAAAACCGACGACATCCATAGCTTTTCAATCATCTAATTGCCTTCCATATATACTGGATATAATTTCACATTCCAACTTCTCACCTGAAGTTAGCGTGACTCACTTACATTAGGCTGAAAATTGATTTAGAACAATAGCACCTGTTCGATGACTGAAACAAACGAAATAGATATAGAAACATTTGGAGAGTATCTACTAATTTTAGACTTCTGAATTAGGCACCATTTAAGTTGGGGGTTGATTGTTGTCGACGTTCGCCATCCTTCTTGAACATGGATCTCTTGGATCGCATAACTCGCTAGTTGAGATTAAAATAAAAGCTTAACAAACTCCTGCTACAGGATAATGGTAGTTTTCAGACTACCAGGTGCAAAACATTAAGATGAAGTACTATAATTTAGCCGACAACACATGAAGATAAAGAAGCACTTGACACCACACAATAGTGTAACAAACAGTCGTCCAGTTACCGAATATTTTCACTTTCTATCCCCAGATAAACTTGCTAACACCAAAGATGAATTTTTGCATTTAGTCTAGTTGGAGATAGGTAATGATGTATAACTTGATAGCGTAAAAGTCCTTTTGTAACCAGATACTGATTCCAAATTGTAGGGACAATTTAATTTGCTATAGAATCTTTTCATTTTCCGTACATTATATTTTAGTTAACGCCATTTATACAATGGCTGTAATAAAAAGCCGACTACAGTTTTTATTTCGGATAAATGTTATTCATGAATATTTATATGAAAATGTTAAACCAATCAAGGCAATTTGAGTGATAATCACAATGAAATGAAAAAGATTACGTAACTACATCTAATAGGCAAAAGTTCAAGTGGATAATAGGAAAACAGGTGTACTGATAGTAGTAGATAAATCTAGATCTTTTCGGGTGATCTATCGTATACCTCCATCATTTCCCAACGGAGTTCGATCCCGTCTCCTACACATTGCAGAAGCCATAGGAATACGTACATTCAACCCTAATTTATGTGTTCAGAAGAAATTCGTGACACCCCTATCTCTTCCGTGGCCGGATATGACGTAACTAATGATTGACATATTTTTATTATTTTTTGATTTTTTATTTTATTTTATTTTTACACATTTGCTTATTACGTAATGTTTTTGACGTTTTTGATGATTATTTGAATTCTATTCATCCACCCTTGACCTACTTTAGTGATCATATTTTACAAATTTTCTTACTACTATCAGTACACCTGTTTTCCTATTATCCACTTGAACTTTTGCCTATTAGATGTAGTTACGTAATCTTTTCCATTTCATTGTGATTATCACTCAAATTGCCTTGATTGGTTTAACATTTTCATATAAATATTCATGTATATTAGAGTAAAGCCTGATGACGATCTAATCGAAAACAATATTGTTCGCTTATATGTGTTGTTCTAAATGTTATTCATACATTCGCGTAAGCAGATAATCAATAAAGCGGATCGAAGCAAAGAGGGGAAAGTTAGTGCAACAACTCAACTGATAAGATATGACTGAGTATTTATAGTCAGACGAAAATAGGTTAGACATGTTCAAATGAAGTAAGCAATCCACTTACACATTTACAAAAAGGAAAACCAATTTTTATAAGTAAACAACTGACAAATTCGGAAGATATATGGATAACTCAAAAAGAAAGGATTAATTTATTTGTCCAAAGGCATTGATAAGACATGTGGGCCAATATAATAAGAGACATTACAGTGCATTCAAGGAGTAAAAATGCCTGGACATCGTGATTCATAACAAGTTATATTTTGTCACGTTACAGTTTATGGTTAGATCATATCGACACGTACGCTGAGGTTAAAATTATTTTGAGAAAGGCGTTTCATTACATTGACTTCTAGCAGCTGGACGCTATCTAGTAAATTCACATTCCATATTTAAAGCAAGGATTCACCTCTTTAATCCCATAATTCGGTAATTTTGTTCAAGTTACTTGGAGTTGGTGTATTTTTATCAGCCGATTAATCCCCTTCAATATAATCCTGCGGCCTATTCTTATTTCAAGTATATTACTTCCGACTGAGCATATGAATTTGTATATTAACCAAATACTGACCCGTCAGTAAACGACTAGATTTATAGAACACGACTATGTCTGACTATCACTAACTACTCTGATTCCTACATCTGTATCGATCAATAGCTTTGGGTAATTTCAAAGATCTATTTTAGGCAATTATTTGAATATCGCAATTTGCTACAGCCCCAGTAGGTATATTTCTGTACAACAAAGCAATATCAACTGAATGGTGGACAGCGTTTTCATTCGTTCGGAAATCATACACTCAACAAGAACTTTCCAAATTTGAGGATAGTTCAATTTATCTGATCCAAATATACAAAACGTCCGAGAATACTTTTGTTCATACACTTATGTTCTATCCAGAAAGTGACACCCTCATTAATGCATTATAATAATTAGAAACTTTTGGCGACAAAATAAGATCACCATCCATTTGATGCTGGATGATCGTATGCAGTCTCACCCTTCTAAATATTACATAGCTCACAAACAATGACATGAGTGTTTGAAGTCCACAACAGCAGCTCACTGTATATAAGACTGTAGACTATCACTTAGTTGGTTGATTAAAAAGTCACCCAGAATTGAGTTAATAATAACCACTCCAAAAACGATTCCCTTATGTTGTTATTTCATACACTCTACTTAACAGAATCAATAACCAAGTTTAACTACTTCTCAGTGTTATATATCCTAAATCACTTTTGGATAGGATCTGTGCAGAAAAAAGTTGCCAGTGTTGGTCACTTTTGATAAACAGAGTACGGAACAAATTTCAACAAATATTTGGTTGATTAACGTATAGTTTATCACAGCTATAAGATGCATTGAAAACCAACCAAGTCTGATACCCAACCTTCAAAACTCCAACTGTCTACGGGTATCCAAGGTATAACATTTAACCTCTTGTGGTACACCACCAAATTTCTGTATCAACATTGGACAAAACAGAAGTTTAACTATTATACATAAATATATATATATATTTATTCAATTCATAAAATCCCTATATAAAAAAAACAAACACTGGTTACGTAACAAATGAATTATTGGTTTAAAGAATAAAAAGTGTATATATAAATGATGAATGCGATTAAAGCATATGAATCAGATATGAAAGAAAATACAATAAGATGACAACATAATGCGAGGAAGCAATTTATATAATAAAAATGGCAAGGATAACTGTGTAGTGACAACAACACAAAGCATAATATATACTAGCAGTAGTAAAGCTTGAACACAACATAATTTTCCTTACACAGTGAATTGGAAAAAAAAGCCCACAAAATGAATGAATGAATGAATGAATGAATGAATGCAGAAAGCAAGCAAGCAAGCAAGCAATGGCACACATACAGAATACAAACAAACAGAAAAATATAGTCAATAATTTGTTCTGTTAGCACACAAAATAAGAGAGAACAATAAAAATGCAGTTGTTAATAAATGATGAGAAAGTTAATTCATTATTATTATTATGATTATCATTTGAAGAGATGAAATGATCTCATCATTGGGCAAAAATAGATCATTTATTTATCATCTTCTGGGAATAATAGCTAGCAACAGCAGCACACTCTTCACATAAGATGACATTTCTGTAATTAATTGAATGAGAAATGAAAAAACAATGTAAATAATACAATCAATTAAATTGACATGAAAACAAACATTGCATAGTGTCACAATCAATGACCAAATACAATAGGTTACAAGTGTTACAATTCATAAAACAAGATTTCATATTACAAAATACAAGTTTATCAAAAACGGTTTCTAGCCGTACTCGGATGCCGTACTGGCAGATGCTAACTCGGTTGGGCCAATTTACAAGACATTGACATATCAGTCAAAACTTGTTGAATACTGTCAACGATTAGGCCATTTTGATTTATTATTTTGAAATAGTAAATAGTGTGTATTGCAGTAATGTGATTACAGTGTACCTTTGGATCAACAGACACCACCAATGCAAAGACATAAGTTACTTTTCTGGGATAAAGTCAGAAACCAAACGATACACTTTACTAGCCTAATGGTTGTACAGTAAATTTGCATGTATACATGTATGGATATCCCTTGTATTTGTAGACTGAAGAAAAGCTCCGGGATATTGTAAAATGTATGAACAATGACGTTGTAATTTACTGACATTTAAAACAATTACACTGATTATTTAAAAACCTTTTCACTAGACTATATAAAGTCAATCAGTTACAACGTAGAACTTCGTACGTACGTACATTAGTTTAAGTTGCCACAAAATATTAGCACACAGAGACGTAATCGTCGATTCCAAATCCCATAGTAATAGAGGTAGTAAAGGTACTTATTACCATTAACCAGGGAAGATTAGGGATATTTACAAGAAGTATAATAATCTAGTGAAATAAACTTAACATTTGATTAATATTAGTTAAGCTATCATTTGCAACATTGAAAAACTAACCTCATCATGCGCACGAGCATTGGATTTACGATCAAAATTAACTCCAGCACGAACTTTTTCTCGTTTTACAGTGCATTTAGCTCGCTCCTGAAATAAATAAAAGTAAGAAAATGACATAATTAGATTTAAAAAGACAACAGGAACAGGTAAACTTTTTAAATCAACTCAATGATTACTATATAAAGCAGCGATCTGACAAAATTAATCCAAGACATGAAGTCATTACTAACATTTGAATATACAGAAATATATCCTGACAGTTTTAGTATACAAGAAGTGAAAGCCAGTAAGCAGCAATGTAGAACTTGGCAAGTCCATCCATCAGTCCAAACTGTCACATCACATTAGTACAAAGAAACTGAGTAGTCAATTTAAATCCCATAGGTATTGAAGGTGATAATGGTAATCGAAAAGATAAGGGATCGTGAATAAACCAACGGCATAAATTTAAAAAGACGGTTATGAAGAATTCAGAAGATCAGAACTAGAGAGCAGACAAACAGTAGATGAGATGGGTTTCTATTCTTTGGAATACAAAATTTTGCTTCAGGATTGGCCTGCATTAGCACCTGAACTAGTGATATGGAGTTGAACATGTTGACCGCTCCGCTTATCATGAGAGTCTCGTCAGTGTTGATGGCCTGGTGTCTGACGAAAACTCGGCACGTATTCAGAAGGCTCGACTGGATTTGCCAACTAATATTTATCTGTTTTCTAATCAAAAGACGAGTGTACTGCACATCAGTTCGCTCCATCCTAAGAATAGAGGACATTCGAATATTAGTAGTACTTGATCATCGAAGTCTTCGAAGCAGTGGTCGTATATCCTGGGATCATCGAGGAAGCAATGCTGATATTAAGAAAAAGGTATCAGGTATAGATGACTGATGAATAGATAAAGTGGTAAATCTCCACCAGTTGAAGTGGTTGGGACATGTGTTCAGTCAGTCAGTTGCAACGTAGAACTTCATGCGTATGTACATAAGTTCATGTTGCCATACCACATTATTAGCACAGAGACGCAAATGTCAAATCAAATCCCATAGTGATAAAGATGGTAGAGGTATTAATGTTATAATAAAGAAGACTAGAGTTCGAAGATATTATTCAAAAAATATAATTCAGTGAGATAAGGTTAGAAAGACAAAGGTAGAGGTACTGACGAATCTAAAAGATTAGGATTTGAGAGAGCTCAATGAATGGATGCACTTGTGTCATTGCAAACGATTCTGCGCCATCTCGTTCAAGGTCTCTAACCATCGGTGACTTTCGTCTCGCGGACCCCAACCAGGTAGTCTACATCTACCAACATGACTCAGTCCACTTGTCAGTGACTTCATGCATTTCTCCCATGTTTAGGTCTGGCCACTCCTAGATTTCTTCCAACCTACTGCTACACCACAAAACCGGCCTCCAGCAGTTGTCCTTTGGGACATGTGTTATGTGTGTCTAACTATCTTGATACAAAAAAAGAGCAAAACAAAATCAATTGAATACCAAGAAAATTAGTGAATTGACGAAAGAACTTCATTCACTGAACTCCTTATTGAATAATAATTCAATGCCGAATGAACTGAAACAAAGCATTGAAAGTCGGTCTTTTCATGAACAACATAATGATTTATTGAAACCAGCTCTGAGAAATGATCAAGAATTTATTATTAAGTCACATTGGAATCAAGTAGAAAATAATTTTCACCATGTTAATGAATTTTCAACATCGTTGTTTAATCATGAAGATAATCGTGATAATTTATTCATCAAAGATGACAATGTTGTTGAACACAAATTGTGCGAATTAGATAATTCAATGCGAAAGACTATAAATTATTTGTTTAAACGAATAGACGAAATCAATCTAAAGATGAAAATCATTGAAAATCATATCAATGATGGTAAATTAACTGAAAGATTAATGCATACTAAAGACAAAGAATGTTTATCTGATCACGAAAAACAATTAATTATTGAACTATTGAATAAAAAAGGCGATAAAAATAAACACTCAATCAATAGTAGTTTATTAGTCAATGGTATATCAAATTTCATTAGGAAAATCTTGCGAAAAGTTGACTTCTCATTGCCGACAACAGTACATGATGGATTTGCAGAAAAATTGTCAAATTTCAACAGTTCATTTGAATCATTCCAAAAGATGAAACAATCAAATTTAAAATCTAGTTTTCAATGCATAGTATCATTGGAAAAACAGTCCACAAATGATCAACGACTGTATGGTGGTAAAGTCACATCGTCTTTCATGAAAGCACCTTCCAAAACAGTAGTAGTAGTACAGTCTAACAATGACCAGAAACACTCAGATAATGACTGTGAATCTGGAATGTTGGAAGAAAGTTTACTGGATCCTCCCATAAGAGGCGACAATAATGGATTCAACCGTGGTGGAAGATCTGTTCAAAATTCTACTCATCATTATTCAAAAAATTTATCACTCAATAAGTTGAATGAAATGTACACATTAATTAATCGATTGCTTATACATCTAATCGAATTAGGATTAACACGAAATTCAATGTCCACTATCGATTTAAAAAATGATCATCAAAAATACTGTACAATGACGAATAATCTTTCAAAATTCCTTGTCAATTGTTCTTTAGATCCTACACTGCTGAAAGAGAAATTCTCAGAAATATATAAAACATTATTGCAATCAATTGAACAACCATTCTTCTACTGTCAAAATCAACATTCTTCATTGATTTCTATTGAACGTTTACAACAAAGCAATATGAAAAATGAGGATATCATTGTTACAAATAGTCAAGTAGAAGTTTTGTATCAATGTCAGTTAGAATTTTATTGTATTATAACACATATCAATAAATTTATTTCAATGATTACTATTTATTTGCAATTATTGAACTTTGAACATTCAACAATCATTCCTAATCCATCATTATTGACAGCTCCTAATGTGAATGGAATTTGTGAGACTGTTGATTTATCCATGACTACATTACTTGATGAATTCGCTGAAAAATGGATATATTTTGAAAATTTAATAAAATCCTATCGTCAATTGATTGAAACACATTTGGAATCTAGTTATCAATGTATAAGAACATTGGAAAATCAATCGAAAAATGTTCAACTATATGATAAAGTCACATTGTCTTTCAATGAAACAGCACCTGTCACAATAGAAGAACAACAGTCTAACAATGTGATCAGAAACACTTAGATAACGACTGTGCATCTGAATTGGTCGAACAAACTTTGAATGAAATGGAACAACCTTTAAAAGGACCATGTAAGAATATATTCTGATGGTGTTTGTTTCCCGTATTACTTACTACTAAATGAACATTTTTAGGAAGATTGGATCAAAATTAATCAGCTTTGAAATTTTTACATGTTAGTGGAAAACAGCATTATCAGTAAACAGTCTACTGAAGTTTGACTTTGTTACGCCTGTACGTAAACACGTCAACTTGATATACTTGAACTATTACGAGTTTATCTAGTCGTAAACGAGAGCGAGGATTCGGTGACACGACATGTTACTCAAATCCGATTATTACAACCCCCATATTTAGTTAGAATAAGAAGACATGATATGAAGTAGAACGTGTATTCTACAAGTATCCAGAAAGTACGAGGTCCGAATCCAGAAGAGTATCAGGATCCCGGACTAGGACCGAGCCCTGGTCCTGGTCATAAAGTGTTACAGATAATGCGTATTTATACCTTTTTGGTCGAATAAGAAGCAGCATCGAGGTCTGTGACATTGACAGTTAAGATGACCAATAGGAAGTAACATTTGAAGTGACATTGATAGTCAGGACAACCAATAAGAAACAACATTTAAGTATTTGACTTTGACAGTTAAAACGACCATAATTTTGACCAATAGAAATCGACCAATAGGAATTGACCAATAATTCTTTTAGGATATTGGATGAATATCCTAACAGTTTTAACATCGTTGCGTGAAGACTGATTAAAGGTTTGATAATTTACCGTTTGTATGAGAGACCAAAAACCTTGGTTTTAATTTTAGGCTTGCGAAATGATGTATAGCTACTCTGCAGAAGAGTTCGATACTAACACGAAAACCTAATATATTTTCTAATAATAAACAGATGACCTAATTTCACACAATATATTTCCGCATTAGTTTTGAAT